AGTTTTCCAGCCAAGAAAAGAGTGAGGAGAGTTTGGGTGGTCTCTTGGACAAATCACCCCAAAGGAGAGTTCGGGTGGTCTCTTGGACAAATCACCCATTCMGTTTCCRYAATMGGGTCTRCAMGCAAGGGAAGGCGCAAGGGGAAGCAGGGCTTCGTACCGTGGACCGACCCGTGACGGGATCCTACGCGCGGGACCATAACAATACGGTTGATGAGATAGGCAGCACACAACATAGCATCCAACCAAAAACATTTAGGAACACTCATGTGTATAAGTAACCCGCGAGCAACTTCAAGGAGATGACGATTCTTTCTTTCAGCAACACCATTTTGCTGGGGGGGTTCTAGCGCAAGAGTTACGGTGTATGGATCCACATGAAGCAAAGAACTCCATGAGATCACTATGGAAATATTCTTTGAAAACAATTGGACTTACCCGTCATATGGTTTGAGGCTCCAGAATCTATTATCCATGAGGAGTCTGAGGGATGAGAGGACACATGGAAAGCTGTGGAAGAATTACTGTTACCTGATGTAGATGCAAAGGAAGTCGAGGGTGGAGAAGCATAATCCATCTGGCGGATTGCCCTTCCATACAACTCCAAATGGTCACGGAAAGAATTAATGATATCTTCCCTCGGATCAGTCCCGGAAGGACTCATAGTGGTGGTAGATGTTGAGGCTCTTGAGAGGCTAAATTTGCTGCATTAAACTTTCTCTAACCTTGTTGTCCTAGCTTCTTATTCTGATCCGACTTTTTACTCATTTCCTGAGCCCACTTTGGCTTCCCATGAAGCTCCCAACATGTCTCTCGAGTATGCCTAGACTTCTGACAATGTGTACACCATAACTTATCTTTATCATCAACTTTCTTTTGGAAGTCACTCTTCTTGAAGGAATTTCCACCACCCATAGCAACACTCCCTTTAGCTGCTAAAGCAACATTCTCTTCCTCAGGATTATTCATCACATTCCGTCTGCTCTCTTCTGACTGCACTAGAGCATATACTTCTTGTACTGATGGAAGGTCTTTACCCCCCAATATCTGAACCCTGATAGATTCATATATGGGATTCAGCCCTAAGAGAAAGGCAAACACTCGTTGTTGGAAAACCAGAGACTTGTATGCTTTGCCATCTGCGTCACACTTCTAGTCTATATTCTGGTAGTGATCTAGTTCCTTCCAAACAGAAGTCAGGTCTGAATAGTAGACGGAGAGACTTCTCTCCCCCTGTTTACAAGTTGAGGAGGCAGCCTGCAACTGATATATTTTAGCATAATGCCGTTGTTCGGAGTATGTAAACTGTGCCTGCTCCCATATCTCATGAGCTGTTTCTGCCCACATGAAGGTCTTTCTCACTTGTGGCAGCATAGACAATAACAGCCATGACATCACCATGCTGTTTTCCTAGTCCCACCTATCATGTTCCACACCACTAGACTGGGGTTCTCTAATTCTGCCATTGATATACCATGCTTTTCCCCTTGTAGCTATGTAGAGCTTGATTCCCCTCGACCATTCTAGGTAATCGAGGTCATCAAAGGGAATCACAGCCATGGGAAAACTCATGTAAAAACCTCCGCTCATCCCACTCTAACTAGAGGTAACACCAGACATACTAGAATCTTCTCAAGACATAGAAGCTAAATCTGATCAGTCACAAACCAGCCAGAGAACAAGTTTTCAGTTTAGTTCAGACCCACAATACAGTCAAAAAACCAGGTTGCAGTCTTAGTTCCGCCACACTTCTGGACAAAAAAAAAAAACTTGTTCTCACAAAGAAATCACTGTTGGTCACACACCATTACTGTTCTCAGATTTCAGCCCTACTAAACCCTTTCAGACTGATCACACACCATTTCAGATGTGTAAGGTATATCAAAAAACAGATCTGACCATTCCCTCTAGCAACAAAACAGCTTTCACACAGTAACTTAGGTTCAATATGAATAGAATAAAGAAATAAACAGATGTTACAGCAGTTACAGATCTGTAGTCTTGAAGCAATAACACCTTTCTGGGCATAATAAGGATCACTCGATCCACATACAATGAGAGAAGACACTTTCACACCACCCGCAGGTCATTAGACCCACATAACCCACACATCTGGGTACAACCAAGAAAAAAGAACTGAGGAAGAAACTGAGGAAGAAAAACTAAAAAAAAAACTCACAGCATTCAATTTTTTTTTCCCGATAGTTTCTGGGCTCACAACCAAGAAAAAAGAACAGTCTTGCAGTGAGCTTCCTCACACATCCACCAGAGATCTTGTTCTTTGGTTCGATCACCAATAAACAAAAAAGGAAAGAAACACCGCCCTGGTCCTAAGATTGGATCTGCCGCTCTGATACCATGTTTTCTTGGTGCTGAGATGGTATGATTCCAGAACAGAGAGAAGAGAAGAAGAAGGGAGAAGGGAGAAGAGAGACAGAATTGAGAGAGGCAAAAAGTCAACTGGCGGCACCAGTTTATTTGATATTTATACTAGGGCGACCATACAGAAAAAAGAAAAGAGAAAATTACAAAGGTGCCCTTGCAGCACTAAACTTAAAATAAGCTAAGTTATTTCAACAACAACCAAGAATACATGGTGGGAAAAAAATTAAACTATGCCTCTATAGCATTCTTTATAACATCAACACTTATAACCAATTCTTGACGTGTTATACAGACTTATGGATGTGGAGAGGATTTACGGTCTGAGAGTAACTGTCCATATGGTTCAATTGGGCTGAAATTTATGTTCTGGTCTGTGTAAACCTGATGTATACTGTAAATAAGTGGTGTTAACAGAATAACAGGAATGTGGCAACCTGTTCAGCTAGAAACAATATTGGTCTTCTTGATTGCCTTCTGTGTGACCTGCTTTTCTAGGTCTGGGGAAGTCTTGCAGGCTATTACAGCACCATTTGTCTGAGGTGTGTGGAGCTAAAGCATGACAAGTAAACTGAACATGGAAACTAAGGATTCAGCAGCATATGGAGTATCTGGCCTTATATATAAATCATATTAGCTGAATGCAATGGCTGTTTATCATTGGTTCCACAGCTGGCTGAATAGCTATTGTGTTCAGCTAATCCTTTCTCCCTTATATGGTTGGATCAGATATTACATGATTGTGTAACTAACTCTTGAAAAGGCTGCAACAATCTCTGACAGGGAATCGTCTTGTGGGGCCTTCTAGAGACTCTTCCTCCTTTCGAATAACTGAGATATAGGTGGGCATTGCTACTGGTTGTTGGGCCTCCAACTGGCTGGATTTGACTGAGCCTAAGATACAATTTTTCTTTACTCTTTGACTCATGTTCTTTATTACCAGTAGCACAATCATATTTTGTTTGGAAACAGGAAACAGCCTCTCTGTATGTGCACAATCATACTCCAGTTCAGACTTATAAAAAAAAAAGCATACTCCAGTTCAGACTTATCAAAAAAAAAAGTCATACTCCAGTTCAGTTTTGCAGTTGCTTGGTAAGAATACATCTTTGTACTAAAAATGAAAGTAAACTTCTTTTTTATGATGTTTGTGCATTCAAAATGGGAGCACAGTATGGAAGCATGCTTTTACACTCAAAGTTTGTCTATGTAAAATAGGTAGATTCCAGTCTTGAAATTCGTGTCTGTACCCATCACAACCAAAAACAATACAAAATTTATCAATGAGAAAATGAACCAAGTTTGTATTTATATTTGTTTACCAAATTTGCATTTACATCAATATATATGCTTTTTGCACTCTTATTAAATGCAGCATTAATTGCACCTTCTACCAAAGCTGGGGATATCAGCAAATTCATAAGATGAACTCTTGAAGAATCCACAAGATCAACAAATTCTACAGAGCAAATATGTCAAAGCAACATTCTTATGAAAAATGAAAAACAAGAAAATATGCTTACCAGTTCAATTTGCAATGTGGAAGCCATACTGGAAATGCTACATAAAACTCCAAGAGAATGACTACCTCCCCGCAAGGTTTTCAATGGCATTGACAAGAGGGTCCTGAATCCGTATACAAGACTTTTTCTAGAGAAGTACTGGTTCATGCCTGGCCATAAACAAGGCCCCTTCCTCACCTGTAAATTTGGAAGAAAAATAAGGGTTTTGATCATAATTCGCAAAGCATGAACATGCACCAATCTTGGCATTTCATTACATTGGTCTCTTAATTCTTGTCATATGCAGTGAACTATAGTATGGGTCCTACATTTATGTCATCTTAATAAATGCAGGTAACTTTTCCCAAAACTTTTATCTCTTGGATGAGGCTTCCATAATGAATATAATTTTTCATAACAATTGGTTTCAGTTTTCTCGATTTTCATAACAATTGGCTTCGGTGATGAATATTTATGAACATAATTTTTCATAAATATCTACTGTTTATTCCTAAATTTATGTAGCTGCTTTTTCACTCTCAAGTTCTATTTTGGATCTTATAAAAACAGTGGGATCAGTAATCTCCTATCCTACTGCTCACCATCCTCATCCAAAATTAACCAAAATTGGATAAAAAAAGATCCAATCACTCAAAAACACACAATAAAGTTAGAAATAACTAAAAAATATTCGCAGAAACAACATAAAAAAAAGGAATAAAAAGAATATCACCAATGCCCAATCAAAGGAATATAAAAAAAATCTTGTAGAGTGCGAAACGAAAATGCAGAAGAGAAGGAACAAACCCTAGAACAAGGGATGGAAGCCATTCCCAATGAAGCTTTACAGAGCATTGGAGACCAGATACGGCTACTACTCACAAAAAAAAAAAAAGGAGAGTTCCGATAATAAGTGTCTGTTTATTTGTACAGAGAATTTATGAAAATTCTCATTGACTTTTATATCCCAACTCTTTAATATGGATCCAAATTACTTCCCTCCTACATCTCAAAGCAATGGCAGTCGGCACTGAGGGCATATTCGTCATGAAATTATTTTCGTCTACATCATACAAGAGTACAATACACGATACAGACCTTTTTTTTTTTTTTTGACAGGTAAACGATACAGACCTTAGTGGTGCGAAGTTTGTTACGTGGTCATCATAAGTGGCAACTGGCAACTGGCAACTGGCAACGTCTCCGATATGGCGATCTCCCAAATAGAGTGAGGATCCTCTACAGTTCTGCTTGTAATATTTGCACCTATAATGATAAACCACGTCGTCTCCGCATGCGTGGGTCCCGCGTTAAGATGACGTGGCGTATCATAATTGGCTATGATTTCTCCTATTCCAAATCCCTTTTTAAGTTACTAAAAAGATCAAAGAATCCTGGTCATCTCCCAGATGGCGGAATCTTTTAGCCCAATGGGCAATGGAAGGTGGCGCAATACCATTTTAAATTAAGATTCCGTTTGGCAAATTATTTTTTGAAAGATTTTCTAGAAGATCTGACACCCGAAAGACATGATGGGCTTTTACATAAAGGTTCTGGCGGGTTATAAACTGTTTGGTTGGAAGTGCGTCTTTCTGTGCATTTTTTTTGTATGAAGATGAAATGAAAAAAGTAAGAAGCTTCATTTCTAGCTTTCCAAAATAAGCTTGAATCAGGCTTCTTGTGTCTTTGAGGCAAAGTCTTTCAATCATTTCTAACTTTCCCCAACCAAATGAGAAAAGACGGAAATGTGGACAGGTAAACTTTTAAACAGTCGACAGTCAGTGTGAAAAGACATGCCAAATAGTGCCTTAATTGAGGTTTTTTAGGTAGGGATGTTCATTATATGGTCTATATGGCCAAAATGCACTAAAGTTGGTGGTTTGATCACTAAAAAAAGAAATTGGTGGTTTGATATGGTCTAGTCAAACAGTTTGGTTTGGTTTGAAAATTCTTTAGACTATAATTTCCTAATTTTAACAAGTTTTTTAAGTCTTAAAAACCAAACCAAATTGTAAATTGAATTATTAATAATATAGTTATCAATGTATAATATATAGAATACATGTGGACCTTCAATATATATATAAAGAGAGAGAGAATACATATGTGTATGCAAATATCCATTTAATATTTCATACACTGTTGTCATTTGTTTCAATCTTTAATTTGTAATTTGATGTCCAAAGGACCTGTTTATGTAGGCATGCATATTATTTAGGCTTTTTAATTGGATTAAGCCCAAATAGGTACAAAGGTGTATGGAGTTAATCAAGGATATGTACAAAGGTGCAAAAACCAATATTAAACACCTACGGGAGAGACATCAAATTCTGTGGTTACAGTGGGTCTACACCAAGAGTTAATACTTAGTCCTTGTTTATTAACACTAACCACTTAAAAGAGATGTCAACATGTTGGGTTAGGGGCGATGTATCTCCACCATAGCCCAACCTTCTACATTCCCACCTAAACCTCACCCAACTCGTATCCTTTTAATTGTGTTTTTATAACACATTTTGAAAAATTAAAAGCCGTTAATTTAAGTTAGAATTTGGTTTATAGGTTTTAAGGTATCACTTCTTCCATAGTGAAAAATGAAAAACCAGGGTAAACACAAGGCTCAAAGTATCGATATGTATCGGCCGATACGTATTGTGTTAATGACTTACAGATACACCCCTCCAGGGATTGTATCGGGTCAACTACCGGTTCAGAGGGTAATCAGGCCTTAAACCGACCCCTCTGAATCAGTTTCGAAAAAAAATAAAACTTAAAAAAATGTACCAACATAGACCATATTTAAAACCTTGGGTAAACATCAAAGAAAACCCTAAGCTTAAATGCTATGGAATTAAGGGTGTAATGACCCAGTGGGGCGAGTTAGCCAAAGCCAAACCAGACTCAAGTTAAAGAATCAAAACCCTAACCTATCCTTATAGGGTCAAGTCAAGGCAGGTTTTACCATTTAATCTAACCCATTTGACATCTCTAATCACTTAGTTACAATGAATTGACTAAATATATTCTTGAGCTAGGAATTCGTGCGGTGCTTAACATTTATTGATGACAGGATATTAATTAATGAAACTATCAAAGGATAAAATGCAAAATTAGGTTTATGAGCAAATACATTATAAACAAGAGATTTAAAAATAGATAGGATTAAAATAAAATGCATGTGATGCAAATTTATGTGACTAGTTTTGTTACCTTGGTTCAATTATTCATAACAAAATCGAGATTGAAAAGGATGTCATTAATAAGACTAGAGCGGGATGGGAAAAGGGAGAACTAATATTAAAGTAGGATGGGTAAAATGGAAGGGTGCATTTAGAGTCATATGTGATAGGTGACCATCACTTCGACTAAAAGGAAAATTCATAAAACAATTGTAAGACAAGTTATATTGTAAACAGTAGAGTGTTGAGCAATTAAGAAACATTATGTCCAAAAAATGAGTGTGGCAAAGATGTTTCAGCTAGATGGATGAGTGGTAAAACTAAAAAAAGATAAGATCATAAATGAAGTCATACAAAGGAACAGAGGAATAGCTCTAATAGATGATAAAATGAGAGAAAATGGATTGAAGTGGTTTGGTCAGATACACAAAGACCATCTATATCACCAATCAAAGGAAGTGATATGTTACAAGTTAAAGGGACTAAAAGACGTAAGAACAAACTGAAAAGGACTTAAGTGCAAAGTTTAAAATATTTGTATGTGATGTAGGGTAACCTGGCCCAACCCATTACGGGCTGGAGGGTCCAGCCCACAGACGCCAGCCAAGGTCTCGGTCCAGCACGGCGGGGGCTACCCTGCTCCCCTCGTACGAAGCCAATAGCGAAGCGCCTCAACGTCCCCGCTTCTCCCGCTGACCGCCCTCATACAGAGCTCATCGGGGAAGTCCATCTCCACCAACCTCCAAGCAGTTCAAGTATAAATACGGGGTACCCCCTCCAGGTAAAGGATCCTGAAATACCAACTCTAACTCTAAACTTAAGTGAAGGACCTTACCTCCTGGGAGCCTAGTGCATACGAGCACCCTCTTTAGAGCCTCTACCTTGGGTTCTCACTCGGGGCCTCTGACATCTACTGTCTTCTAGAACCTCAGGCTACCAAGGACTTCACCACTTAACCGATAGCCCTCGGCTTCTGCAGTACTCAGAGACAATCCGCCTTGGCCTATAGCTCTCGGCCTCGGCACACCTTCTCTGAACCCCTCAAAGCCTTTGGCCAGCCTTCAAAGCGTAGGAGTGCTTTTACCATGTTTCCCCTGGCCAATCCGGGTAGCAACAATTGGCGCCACCTATGGGAAACGTTGCTAAGACGATCCCCTGAAACTCTACAAACTTGAAATCTCCTAAGCTTTGATTGCCATGGTACGAAGAGCCAGGAACGCTCAAAACCTGATCACGAGTGAATAGATCTAGGCCATCCTCGACCGCCTGGAGTACCTCACACAACATGTGGAACAAGCCTACCCCCGGGCAGGAGGTCCCTCCCGAGGCGACCGCCCCACTGGGGTGTCAAAGCACCAGGGCCGACATGACCATGTCGAGCCCCCAACACTCGGTCTAGCTGACCCCCAACGGGCCGAGTCCGCTGAGTCTGGTAGCAGTCGACCCGCCAGCCCGCCACGAAGGAACGAAGGACCTCCTACCAAAGGGAGGAAGAGCCGGCATGGTTCAAAGACAACCGCCAGCATTCTAAGCAACACCATCGTTGCTAGAGGGAGAACCCCCGGGACGAGGGCGGACACCTCGGCCGCCATAGCGCCCACTCAAGGGCCGAGAGCCGACGTCGCACTTTTCTTGCGTCAATCTCAGACCTCCGTGATGTCCTGAACAACCGCCACGCCAGATGGGAGGCGCGCGGTCCTGTCTCAGAGCATTCCGGAGTTCCTGCGGATCCCCACCACGTCCGCGAAGATATAGACGAGCGGCAATCTCCACCCGACCCTTGGATTGCTGAGTTGCAAGTCGAGCTCGGGGCCGTCAAGGATGAACTCCGCCAAGTTTGAGAGAGCCGAGCTGACACCTTGGCCGACCAAAGCAATCCGACGGGGAGAATGGATGCCTTCACCCCGGATATCATCTCCGAACCTCTCCCACAACACTTTAAGTCTCCTACATTGGAAATGTATGACGGGACCTCGGACCCTGACGACCACCTGGAGAGCTTCAAAGTTTTCATGATACTTTACGGGTATTCCTACGCCTTGACGTGCCAGACTTTCCAGACCACATTCAGAGGAGACGCCCATCGTTGGTTCTTCGGCTTCCCACGTCGATCAATAAGTTTATGGGAGTAGTTCGCCAATTTATTTCTCGCCCGCTTCATCAGCAGTAGGCGATGCCAGAAGAGCGTCGTCTCATTGATGTCTATCAAGCAAAAGCAAGGAGAGAGTCTACGGTCCTACATCAACCGCTTCAGAAAGGAAGAGCTCGAGGTCCGTGACCTCGACCCCATGGTCTCTATGCACACAACCATTAAAGGACTATGTGCCGGATCAGCCCAGAAATGCTCGGTTGCCAAAAACCTGCCGAAGACGAAGCTAGAGCTCCTCAAGAAGGCCCAAAAGTATATTGTGGCCGAAGAGGCTTCGACCGGGGACCACTAGGAAAGAGAAGTTGAGCGCCACAATGGCAGTAGGGACAAAAAAAATCCACCTGCTTAGGCCCTGGCTTACAACCAGTACACGCCACTCAACTCCACCCGAACTCAAATCCTGATGCAGATTGAGGAGGAGAAGTTCATGAAGTGGCTAGAAAAGATGAAGAGGAACCCTAGAAGGGGGAATCCAAAAAAGTATTGCAAAAACCACCAGGGGACCGGCCATGACACCGAAGACTGCCATGATCTCAAGAACAAGATAGAGTCCCTCATTCGCCATGGCCACATCAAGCAGTACGT